GAACCAGAGCTGGAGGGCCCACAGTAACCAGAGTTGGAGGGCCCACTAGAACCAGAGCTGGAGGACCCACAGGAACCAGAGCTGGAGGACCCACAGGAACCAGAGCTGGAGGACCCACAGGAACCAGAGCTGGAAGACCCACAGGAACCAGAGCTGGAGGATCAGCAGGAACCAGAGCTGAAGGACCAGCAGGAGCTGGAGCAAGAGGTCCAGCATCAGAGGGGTGGGAAGGGTGGGCCTCAGAATCTCCCAGAGCTGCCAGCTCTGAGAGACACCCTGAAGAAAAGAGTCCCTTCAGGACAGCCAGCTCGCACTGCATCTTCTCCACCACTCTCAGGATACCAACCTGAGTGCAGTCTGACTCAGGGCTACCACATGAAAAAAAATTCTCCATWTCCCTCCTGGTGGTGGAAACAAAAAACTCACCTCAGTCTGCTGGGGTTCAGGTGTGGTCAGATCCTTCTGTTACGATTGAGCTTGGTTGTTTAGAACCCCAAGATGCAGAACTGTGAGGTGGCAAAAAGGGATTTATTAAAACAAAAACAAAGGGGCTGACGTGGCAGCAAACAAGAACAAGGGATTTGGGCAGGAACATGAACATGAACATGAACATCYAACAGAGAACAAGGATCTCACAAAGACTGAGGACAAAGGACAGAATATAAAGGAATAACTAATGAGGTAAAACAAGAAACACATGAGGATCAGGTGTGAGTGGGCGGGGCTAGAGCAAAGGCAGACAGGAGGAAGAAAACAGGAGGAAAAGACAGAAAACTAAGAGTAAATCATAAGCACAGACACAAATTATAACACAAAGACCTGACTCCCAAGACACGAAGCAGACATAAGGGGGACCAGCGCCAAAGACCCCAAGAGTGACCCCCAAGCATGGAGCCCCCAGAGGCACCAGTGCAGAAAGAGCCGCATCCCCCCCACCCCGCCCCAGAGTGGACCATAGGAGACCTCACGCAGCATCCCGGTGCCGARAACAGCTAGCTCACAGGCCCTGCCAGCACCCGCCGCACCGGAGCAGCCAGGCATGGACACAGAGGCCCGGGTCCCCAGGGCGCACCAAAAATATGGCCAAGGCCAAGGCCCAATAGGGCCAGAAGACCCAGGCCCCACCAGGCCGAGCCGGCACATGCCCAAGCGCCCATCTCCTGACACCGAGGGCTACCCGTGCACCAGCGGGCAGGGGGACAAAGCCCARCACCAGCAGTGGGCACCCAAGTGAACCAGAGGAGGGGGCAGCCCAAGACACAGCCTGACACATATCCAATCATACAAAGACACAATCACACAATCCCACACTCATCCTCACACCCACTCATTCAAAGAAACACAAGATGGATGCAATACTCCAATTATGCTGCCCATACATACTCTATACCCCCCAGGTCCAGGACACTCACCCACCCCCAACGGAAGGCAGCCCACATCCAGAACCAGGGGGTAGACCAATTCATTCTGGGGTGGAAAGGAGCAGACAACCAAGGCCCGGCCCGGACCATACCAGGCCAACCGGTCAGCCCCTGCCCACCGCAGCAAATCTATGACCCCAAACAACCCCACACACTACCAACGGCCAAGCACACACCCCCAACTGACCACCCACCAGACTCCGGCAGCCCCCCCAGCCAGTGGGCCAACCACGGCAACCAGGAGCCATGCCCCAGAAGTCCAAACAGCCCCAGGGAAGCCGGAGCACCAGCCATGTCCCCAGCCTCTGAGCCCACAAACAGACCAGGCTCCCACCAGACGGTCCGATCCTCCTCCGAACCCCATCCCTAAATGGCAATCAGGGAACGGGAGTGAGAAATTAAGAAGACCCCCCCACACACACACCTCCACCCTCTGATGTGCTGTTGATGCATGTTGTTCTATAGTGCAATTAAAACGGGGAAGACGACGGGGCAGAGGCCAGCATGGTACCAGTTTTCCCTCCAGCCCAGCTCTAACCCAAAACCCTAAATGTCTACAAGCAAACATTGGGAGTGGGCACAGGCATCAGTAGCGATGGTATTCCCTCCCGCCACTTGCATGCCATGTAAATGAATGCCTGTGGTCATCATCATAAGTGAATGCCTGTGGTTGTTGCTGCAAGTGAATGCCTGTGGTCTTCGTCACAAGTGAATGCCTGTGGTCTTCGTCACAAGTGAATGCCTGGGGTAGTCGTCGCATGTCCATGCCTGGGATCGTCGTCGCAAGTCAATGCCTGGGGTCGTTGTCGCAAGTCAATGCCTGGGGTCGTCATGTCAGTCAATGCCTGTGGTCATCGTCGCAAGTGAATGCCTGGGGTTGTCATCGCAAGTGAATGCCTGGGGTCGTCGTCGCAAGTCAATGCCTGGGGTCGTTGTCGCAAGTCAATGCCTGGGGTCATCGTCTCAAGTCAATGCCTGGGGTCGTCGTCGCAAGTCAATGCCTGGGGTCGTCATCGCAAGTCAATGCCTGGGGTCATCGTTGTTGTCAGTCAATGCCTGGGGTCGTCGTCGTCTATTTAAGAAGGGACAGTGCATGTTACAGAAAATGCCAGAATTAGCCATGGAGGCTAGTTTTCATCTGTAGTCCCTCAAGGTCCTATGGATATAAATACAATTCACACAAAACAAGTTACTTTCATTAAAGAGAAGAAAAAAATACAAATCCTAAAAATATGATAAAAAGCATGAATCAAAAATAATAAAAATCCATTTAGCACAACAATGTAATGCACCTGCACCCCAAAAGCCCTACATGAGTGGAGTTGAAAGTGAAGAGGGTGGCGGTATGTGGCGACGGATGGGGAGAAAAATGACTGGGGGAGCAAAATGCTCCCACAGGGAGTCAGCTCCCCCACTGACCTTGGTAGGCACCCCTGTTCCCTGAAACACACCCAGGGAGTGAGGTCCCAGTACCTCTTCTTCTGGACAGACTGCCAGGCCCGGGGAGCCCTAGACCATGGCCGAACAGATCCCAGAGGACCGCCAGAAACCGGGACCACAGTCCCCCACCCCAAAGCCGTCTAAACCCCCAAGACCCGACCCCGAGTTCCATAGCCAGCCCACAACCCAAGGAAGCCACCAAACCCCGGCAAGGAAGATTCAGCCAAGAGTGCCCACCCAGCCGCCGACAGCGCAAGGAGGGACCCAGAGCCAAACTCTGCCACAACAAAAGKGCTAACCAGCCAACCCTGCACAGCCCCGAGCCGCCACCATAGGCCATCTACTCTGCCCCCACCCCAGAAGACATACTACACCCACCCCTACATTCAAACACCTCTCAGAACATATAACACACTAGACACCCAGGCTGAGTCGACCCACCCCCTCCCGCAGGCCACAGGGCCCCCGCCACAGCAAAGGGCCAACCAGCCGGCCCAGCACGGCCCCCAGCCACCACCAA